TAATATTGTGGCTTTGCATTTATATTTTATCTTCATTGGTAGGACATATCGTTATTTTTTGAAATTAACCTTTCTGTATGTAAATTCTTTCGTAAATTTGTAATATATTAGTTACCATGATTTGGTTCGTTACGAACAGTTGCTTTAAAGTTTTTAGATAAGTCCATTCCCAAGTAACTGTAAGCTCTATCTGACCAAAATTGCACAGATGTTGCATCTAGGGATGCACACTTCTATATTATTAGTTTGGGACTTTGCCTTACTTAAAGACAACTTTCGTCGAGGTGAGCTCTGTAATGTCTGATTAGCTATGTTTTTCCAACAAATAAGTTGCATAGTGTCATGTATCACGAAGATGACAAAGCATTGCAATTTATATTTCAATCCAATAAAAACAATATAATAATTAGTATTGATGTTTTATAAGGCTGTGCCTTAGTGTAATGAACAAATAAATTTTAACTTTAAGTGTTTACACATATGTGAACACCTCTTAGATAAATAAAATATGTTTAGTGACTTAGCACCTTTTCTGAACAACACAGCGGGGGGGGGGGGGGGGGGGTATTTGAAAAAAAATAAATTGAAACAATATCTCTTTTCTCATTTAAGCAACTCTAAAATCAGGTAGTATTCGTTTAACAATAATTAATCAATCAGTTTTATTAGTAAATATAGACTGTTTCGTAATTAGTACATCATAAAAGGTATGTGCGCCTGAATTTTCGTTTGAAATACATCTTGTATTATAATATTGCTCTTACATTGAAAAAGAAGCGCATTTCTTAAGATGTATCTATGGTGTATTAATCTAAAAACCTTAGAAATTGCTGTAATACAATAAAGTACGTTTCACATATTTTGTTACTCTATTTCGCGAAAGTGAGGCGACATTAAATCTCATATACTTAACAATCTGTCTCAAAAACTTTAACCTTTGTCATTACTTTTGAATAAGAAAAGGTAAGGCTTTCGTAAATCGAATTTACATCACCTGTTACAAGATCCTCCCATATATACTATGATTTTTAGCTCACCTGAGCTGAAAGCTCAAGTGAGCTTTTCTGATCACCTTTTGTCCGTCTGTCCGTCTGTCTGTCCGTCCCTCCGTCCGTCCGTCCGTCTGTAAACTTTTCACATTTTCAACTTCTTCTCAAAAACCACTGGGCCAATTTTAACCAAACTTGGTACAAAGCATCCTTGGGTGAAGGAGAGTTTAAATTGTTAAAACGAAGGGCAAAGCCCCCTTACAAGGGGAGATAATCCAGAAAAGACAAAATTAGGGTGGGGTCATTAAAAAATCTTCTTCTCAAGAACCACTGGGCCAGAAATGCGGAAACTTGTATGGAAGCATCCTTGGGTAGTGTAAATTCTAAATTGTTAAAATCATGACCTCCGGGGGTAGGGCTGGGTCACAATAGGGAATCCAATTTTTACATTGAAATATATAGAAAAAAATCTTTAAAAATCTTCTTAAGAACCACTGGGCCAGAAATGCTGAAACTTTTATGGAAGCATCCTTGGGTAGTGTAGATTCCAAATTGTTAAAATCATGACCCCTGGGGGTAGGGCGGAATTCAAGTTTTATATTGAAATATATAGAAAAAATCTTTAAAAATCTGAAGAAGAACCACTGGGCTGGAATAGCTAAAACTTATGTGGAAGCATCCTTGGGTAGTGTAGATTCTAAATTGTTAAAATCATAACCCCCGGGGGTAGGGCGGGGCCACAATCGGGAATTCAAGTTATACACTGAAATATATATAAAAAATCTATAAAAATCTTCTTCTCAAGAACCACTGGGCCAGAATAGCTAAAACTTATGTGGAAGCATCCTGGGGTTGTGTAGATTCTAAATTGTTAAAATCATGATCCCCCGGGGGTAGGGCAGGGCCACATTAGATATTATTACAAGGGGAAAATCTGGAGAAGAACAGGGCCAAAGTAAATCAGGTGAGCGTTGTGGCCTATGGGCCTCTTGTTACCCCTTGTCCTTGAAGTTTGACATACTTTTCAAAAAATTTTAAAATTTGTGATAATTTTTGAATGAAAGAAGATCGGGTGTTCATATGTGCATTACCAGTGACAAGTCCTTTCCAAGCGTATTATGATTGTAGATCCCATGCATGACCTTGAAGTTTTACTTTAAAAAAATAATATTGTCAGATCTTTGGAATGAGAAAGGATTTGATTTTCATTTGAATGAAAAAGGTGAAGATAATGAACAGTAATTGACCTCAGAAAAATCTATAAACAAAACAAATCTGTGAAGAGGGCATAAATTCCGGCCGAGTAACCTGTTAACCGATTACAAATTGCCATCCCTAATATGTATGTGTATATATATATATATATATATATATATATATATATATATATATATATATATATATATATATATATATATATATATATATATATATATATATATATATATATAGTAACATCATATATATATATATATATATATATATATATATATATATATATATATATATATATATATATATATATATATATATATATATATATATATATATATATATATTTGATGTATATATATATATATATATATATATATATATATATATATATATATATATATATATATATATATATATATATATATATATATATATAGTAACATCAACTTATCTATCTGTAGCCTGCCTGCTTTAAAATTGATCCTACTCTTGAGTATTGAATAAGGCGGGAGCTGTAGACCCTATATGCAGGTGATAGCGGGATAATGCTAAATCAATAGGTGATAGCGGGATAATGCTAAATCAATAGGGGAAGTTGACGAAGGAAAAGCTTCAGTCATTTTGTTTGTCACAATTTAGTTGTTAGAAGCCCTTATTGTCTGTAGTCAATAAAACTTCCGAATATTAACAATAATTATTAAGAATTATTATCCCCTGCTTTGTGTCTTAATGGATTAAGTGCCATTATTTATGGCATATTGTAATTGTCTTTTTGTGTCCTGTCTTGTGTTCGCATCAGGCTTGGGGCGAATTACATTGTAAATAAATGCATTACATTACCAATTACTTCAAGAATTAGGGCATTAGATTAACATTACTGCAATTTCTTAAAGTAATGTATTACATAACCATTACTTTAGCAAAGTAATGCATTACCATTACCATTACTTTTTCAAAAATAAAATACAAAACTTAACAACTTTGCAACTTTATTCATAAACATGCATCCCATCCCTTCAAAACTACACATGATGAATGATAATTCAAATTTAATTTCAAGAACTTGTATTTATTACACTGTAAATAATTTACATATTTTTTTTTATTATTCATAGGAAGTTCATCAAACTTTCAATTGCCAATAAGATAAAAACATGTACAATATGCACTTTTTATGTAACTATTGATGTCATTACGCAGTTTAATTTTGGGGCAGTTTTCTCCCTCCCAAAAACTAAAACTAACCTTAATGAGACATAAAAAGATTATTTGGATCTAGTACCTCAAATAATGGCAAAAATGTAATGCACTGCCGAACTTGTAAAAAGGTTTGGATAGTATACATGTACATTTTGCTCTTCTAAAAGTAGAATGCCTGTCTTCTTTCCCTTTTGGTGTAATGGATTTGTCATGGTCAGCTCAAGTTAACTACAGTTTTTGACCTCATGCCCTTAGAATTTAACCTGCAAAACTTTTTACAACTTTTTAACATTCTGGAACTTTGATCTAATTTTCTTTTTTTAATTTAAACTTTTGCAGTATTTTTTGCTCCAGATGAGACAAGACGTCACATGTGCATAACTTGTGACAAGACCTGTAGTATGTCTATGATATTGGACCTCATGGCTTTGATTTCGAAGTTTGATGTAGTTTAAAGAAAATTAAATCTTGACTTTTAAATTTAAAAACTTGAAATTTTAAATCTTTTTTTATAATGATGGACAAATAAGACAGTACATACAGACAAGACGATTCAGTATAGTATGCCATAAATAATTGCATCCCGAAAACAAAGACCCCTAAATCAGGGGACCACAATTCTTTGAATTGGGTTTTTCACAGGGTTTTTCTCAATTCTTCTGAGCTGAAGGATCAAGAGGGTTTTTCTGATCAGAATATATCTGTTGTCAGGCGTTACTGTTGACATTTTTGTTGTTGTCCTCATACTTTTCACATTTCATTTTATCCTCAAGAACCACTGGGCCAAATTAAACAAATTGATGAAGAACAAAAGGGCCTCATTTACTTAGGTGAAAGGTGTGGTCCATGGGCCTCTTGTAATTTCCCCTTTTATAATACAACAAGTATCATATATCTGGTAACAAAAACCCAATTTTATATTTTAACATATCAGTACTATATTTAAAATGAAATGACTTCCAAATCAATCGTACACGTTTCTCACATGATTCGTGCACGAACGTCGCATGTTTATCAGGTGTTCTTGCTTGAAATTCGCACGTTTCTCTCATGTTCTTTCAATACTCACTACAAGATTTGTATGATATGCTTAGAGGCCTACAAGAAACGCTGCACAGTTTGCGTTAAAAGCTACACGTTGTGCATAGAACACTGCAGGTTTTACACGAACGTTATACGGTTTGGACGAAACGAAAAGTGTACGAAAGCACATGCTTTAGTTAGGTAGAAGGACGTATTTTGTGTCTTCTTTTTCGTCCACTATCTGGCCGCCTTCATCAAGTTGAAGATTTCGCGAGTTGGGTGTGCGCGTGTTTGCATAATTAAAAGAAACAACAATACTTCAAAACATGTTCTTTTCTTACAATATTTCTTAGTCATTATTTATATGTAAAACAAAGGGTTGTATCAACGGTCTTTAGAGCTCTCAGTTATCAAGCATGTGATATGAGTTGATGCTTATCATCAATGACAGTTAATTATGAACATCTCACTTTTGCACATTTTAATTTTTCACTGATGATGAACAGGTGCATATAATGTAGATTTATACAAAGGGTACCTATGATCTTGCTTGCTTTTTATCTTTAAATATAGGATGGAAATAGAATATATGCAATATAACAGTTGTGGTGATGGATGTATAATTGGAATCGTTGTTGGTCTGGTGATTTTGATCGGAACTCTTGCAGTAATTGTTGCAGTTAGAAGACGTAAAGGACAGTATACTTCTGTTTGCAGGTAATATTCATATTTTTATTTGTCATCTTATTCAAACAATTTTGTACCAGCAAAATTAAATAGTCTCAATAGCTACCCATTTGATGAATTTTCAAAAGACTAAAAATGTAGTGCAAGAATTGATTAAAATAATACTGCTACTTCTATGTAGGCCACCTCCTGTCCAATGGTTAATGTTCTAGTTATAATTTGAGTTATATTTTTTTTTAATTCTTTATTTAATACACAATCTGTTATATCATAATATAATATAATATAAAGAGAGAGGGGAGGGAGAGAGAAAAATATGATATAATACAAAGTTTAACATTTTTCAGACTGTGATTTTTAAGAGAGAGAGAGGGGGGGGGGGGGGGAGAGAGTTGGCATGTTATCATGTATTTCAATTTTCATTTAATACATGAATAAGACTGATTCTTATATAACAGATTTATAAAACAATTGATTCCATTGATTCCAGTTGGTATCAAATGCCTCTTTGTCTCCATTTTTGTATGATAAATATTTCTGAGTTTCATAAAAAAGTTTAATATGTGAAGTTGCAAGTCTGACATCTAATTTTTTTCATTAACATCTCATTGTATAAATATAGTATTTTATCCACAAGGCCAACAACTTATGAATATCTTTGTTTTTTCCTAGAAACCCCAAAATAAAACTTTGCTTTGTGGATGAAAGTTGCAGCCCTATCTTTTGCTCACAATATACTTCAAAACTGTTAAGAAAAGTTTGTACATTATCACATTCCCATAGAACATGTATTATTGTTTCTTCTTCCACATTGCAAAAAGAACATAATTTATCATCTCTTTTCCTAATTTTATATAGATAGGAGTTTGTACCAAGAATTTTATTTAAAATTCTATATTGAAACCAGTGAAGTTTACTATTTTTTGTAATTTTAAAAGGAAGTTTAAAAATTCATTCCATTCAATTTACCCCAAATCAAAAATATCATTCCATCTTGTTTTCCCAGTGAGTTCAACATCATTAACATTGATTATTTCATAAAACTGTTTCGCTTTCTTACACTTTAAAAGAATATGAGTGCTAGACAAAATTACTGGGTTTGGTAATTTTGCAATAGTATCATTAATGTTCATTGCTTTCATCCATGCTTTTACAGCATGTATTATACCTGCAAATTCTACGACGTTGAGCTTTACATTTGGATATATATATCACAATAACCCTCATAACTGTAAAAGAAACCATTATCATCTATAAGATCATTTATAAATCTAATATTCAGGTCATACATATTCTTATTATAAGTAGCTTTGAGTAATATTGTGGTTGGAAGCTTCTTCAGTTTCAGTGTTCATTTTGTTACATTTTAAATTCAACCCATTCTTTAAGACTGTTTGATTTCCATTTTAATGATTTCTTTATTATGTATCTTTACATTGACCCAGTGTACTTAAGTAAGTACACTGAGTCAGGAACCATTTAAAAAGCAGAAAATCTGTTGCTTGATATAAATTAGAGCCTGTTCTGCCAATGCCTTAAAGTCACATATGGTGTATTTTTTGTAAATTCAGACTAATAAAATAATAAAAAAAAATCTTTATATTTGTTTTATTATTTTATGTAAAGGAAGGACATTCCTTTGATTTACACAATTTAAATCAATCACGTTTCAAAGATATTAGAAATGTAAAACAATAACCAATTAATTAACCGACCCCGCATTTAAATAACAGGCACAGTTTAAAGTCAATATAACTATAGAAACATGAGGTTATTCAAGTTCAAAATCGGTGAAAATTTTAATTTGAACGTAAATAACATATATCATGTTTATCCACAATCAGTCTCGTATTTTTTTTTTTTTTTTTTTTTTTTTTTTTTTTTTTATAGCTTTAAAGTGTTCGGTATGTCCGTCGTTAGTCTACCTGTCAAAAGCATTATCCAAACCTTATCCAAAGCATGTTTGCTCCCCCCTTGGCCTAATCTTCACCTCTGCGGGGAGGGGGGTGGCGGCTCTATTGATTTTGTAGTGAAAATGCATCGTCTCTTTGAAAATCTTCTCTGCTCTTAGGTATTTAGCAGATAAACCAGATTTATAGTTATGATGAGCAATGGCCCCTCTTTCAAAATTGTGAATATCTTGGCCCCTGAGTTAGATGTTCTGGTGTAAGGGCGGGTCTCTATTGATCTTATAGCGAAAATTCATTAATTCTTTGAAAATCTTCTCTCCCCCGTATATAAAGCAGATAAACTAGGTGCATGGTTATGATGATCAAGAGTACTTCTAAAATTGTGAATTTGTGGCCCCAGGATGAGGGGTTCTGCAGGAGGGGGGCTTAATTGATTATAAAGTAAAAATGCATCATTTCCTTGAAAATCTTCTTTCCTGTTCCTAGTTATTTGGCAGCTAAACCAAGTTTATACTTATAATGAACAAGGGCACCTCTTCAAAAAGTGTGAAAAAAGTGTGAATATCTTGAACCCTTGGTCAGGGGTTCTGGTGTTAGGGCGCGGCTCTATTGATCATATACTGAAAATGCATTAGTTCTTTGAAAATCTTCTCTCCTCTGTACATAAAGCAGATAAACTAGTTGTATGGTTATGATGATCAAGTGTGCCTCTTCCAAAATTATGAAATTTGTGGCCTCGGGGTGAGGGGTTTTGCAGGGCTTTATTGATTATATAGTGATATTGCATTATTTCCATGAAAATCTTCTTTTCTGCTCCTAGGTATTTAGTAGATAAACCATGAATATAGTTATAATGAGCAAGGATGCCTCTTCCAAAATTTTAAGATTTATGTCCTTAGGGTCAGGGGTTTATGTTGGGAGGGGGGGGGGGTCTATTGAATATTTAGTGGTAATGCGTTATTATTTTTCCTTCATTTTTGAAAATCTTCTTCACTGCACCTGGATATTTAACAGAAAAACTAACTGCATGGTCATGATGAGCAAGGATTCCTTTTCAAAAAGTTTGAAATTCATAACCCCGGGGTTCAGGGGTTTTGGTGTTAGGGTGAGGCTCTTGAATATATAGTAGAAAAGCATTATTTCTTTGAAATTCTTCTTCTCTGTCCATTGTTATTAAGGAAACATAATTAGTGCATGGTTATGAGGAACAAGGTTCCTCTTCAACAATTGTGAATATCTTGGCACCTGGGTTAATGGCTCTGGTATTAGGATGTTTTTTTATTAAATCTATAGTGAAAATGGATTTTATTTTCAAATCTTCTCTGCTCCTGGGCATCTACAAGGAAAACAAAGCATATAAAGTTAAAATAAGAAAACATGTTTTTATCAGATTTTGAAATTCTGTACCCTTCTGTCAATTTATTAATTTCTACTGAAAGAAGTTATTCACTTTCGCTATTCACCTATGATAGTTAATCACTCTAAATAATGTAACTGGAAAAGTCAATTGAATAACGGAATTATACAAGAATTTTTATGATAGTTCATACAAAAATCACATTTTCTCTCTTTGTTGTATGCTTGTCTTTATACGGGATGTATTATTGTTTGGCGTTTATTTCTGTCTATATTTTCTCCATTTGTCCGTTAGCTCTTTCATACCCAGCTTATAACTTTAGTACTATGAGGTCTAGAACAATCAGACCTTGTCAGCTGACACATCTTGGATAGAAGGTGCACATAATTAATAGGTCACTTTCACTTTTAATTAAGATAATATGGCAAAATACTGCCGAAATAGATGGTCACAATTTAAACGAAATCTACTTTTACTGTATTTGATATTTAAGATTTTCTGATTTAATAAAATAATTTCAAATTTGACTTGTATGCTACAGTTTTTAACTCACATGAGCTAAAAGCTCAAGTGAACATTTCTGATCACTCGTTGTCCGGCGTCCGCCTATACATGATTGTATATCCGTCTGTAAACTTTTCACATTTTCGACTTCTTCTTAAGAACCATTTGGCCAATTTTAACCAAAGTTGGCACATAGCATCCGTAGGTAAAGGGGATTCAAATGAAGGACCAAGTTTGCTTCCAAGGGGAGATAATAAAAAAAGGCAAAATAGGATATATAGGGTCACTAAAAGTTTCAAGAATGACTGGGACGCAAAAGTTGAAACTTATGTGTAAGCATTCCGAGGAAGTGCTGGTTATAAATTGTTCAAATTATGACCTCCGGGGCTAAGATGGGGTCACAAGAAGTTATCAATGTTTTAGATTGAAATGTATAGGAAAACTTTAAGTCTTCCCAATGTCACAGAGTCATCATTAAAGAAAATAACGCTGGATTCAGTTCTCGTTTTCAGAAGTTTTAATGAGGATAACAAATAAAACCTAGAAAACATGAAAAAACACAACACAGACACATTAACAAGAGACATATATGGTCCATTTAGCAAAGTTACAAAATATATAACATGAAAATTCACGTCGCTGCCAATAAAAATCTTTTACGTATAATGGAAATTCATTTAAAAAGTATTTACATCATTAGAAATAAATCTTACCAGGTACCCAGTGTTATGATAGAATAAAGATAATTATCAACGCGTCGTGAAACTCGGTGACTTCAAACGTTACATGTAGGGTTGGACCTCTTACGTCTCACACATAAAGGTAGAAGCTAATAAATATTTCATTTGGGGGGATAAGCGCTAATATAGTACACGAAGTTAGAATACATACATATTACATGTAATTATCAAATAGCGGTTTGTCATTGGTCCACTGGTCGCACTCGTATACCTGGTCAGCTAGTAAGCTAAAATTAGAAACATCACGTGATAAAACAAATCTTTCACACATGGCACTAATTCACACAGCGCTCTATTTGATTAGCGATGCGTGAGCAGCGCGACATCAAAACCCACTGGGCCAGAAAATGTGAAACTTTAAGTAGAAGCTTCATGAGAAAGTGCAGATTCTAAATTTTTCAAATCATGACCCCTGGGTTAGGACAGGGCCACAGTAGGGGATGAGAGTTTTTATTGAAATGTATAAGAAATATAAATGAGAAAAATATTTTAAAAATCATATCAAGAATCATTTGGCTAGAAGAGGTGAAACTTGTGTGTAAGCTTCCTGAGGAAGTGTAGATTCTAAATTGTTCAAATAATGACGCTGGGGCGTAAGATCTGGACATTTGATTAGCACAATGTTTTATTTAAAATCTTCTCAAGAACCAACGGACCAGAAAAGTTGAAACCTCCGTGGAAGCTTCCTGAGGAAGTGTAAATTGTTCAAACCATGTCCCCTGGGATTAAGGTGGGGCCACAATAAATAATCAAAGATATACATTGAAATATAAATGAAATATCTGAAAAAAAAATCTGAAGAAACCTCGGGACTAGGAAAGATGAAACTTATTTGAAAGCTTCCAGAAATACATGTAGATAGATTGTAAATTGTTCAAATTATGATCCTCGGGGATAAGATGGGACTATTATCGAAAAATCAAAGTTTAACATTGAAATAAATATATTAAAGAAAAAACATTAAAAATCTTCTCAAGAACAGCAAAGACATGAAAAGAGGAAACTTAGCTGAAAGCTTCCAGATGAAGTGTAAATTCTAAATTGTTCAAGTTTTGACCTGTACTCTGAGGTAGGGCAACAACAATGGATAAATTTTTTACATGGGAATATATAAAAGAAATCTGACGACGAACAGCAAGACTTAAGTAACTTTTGTGAGCGTTGTGGCCAATGGGCCTTTTTTAACACCTTTTTCAGACACAGTAGAAAAGAAAAAGAAACCCTTGCATAAAATTGAAAATTCAGGTAAGTGTGTTCATCTGAATTATATTAGTTAGCATGAATAATTAATTAAGTTTAAGCAGTTCAAGACCACTAGATTTTCTGACATCAGCATTAAGTTTTGCATGTTAAGGAGGGGTTCTTCTCATATTTCCTGTATTTAAAAATAAATAAAATGAAACTTTCATAGATTCAAGAAGACATTATCATTCAGTGATGGTATCAATTAGATTAAATTTGACCATTTTATTTTAAACCAAGATCAGGTCAAGGTCATTATCTTTTTCCTTGACCTTAAGAATAAAAAAATACTGTTGCCAATCATACCATGCCTACTTCTATTTCAAAAGATTAAATGGTTTTCTTTTTGCATAAAATAATATAACTATAAAGGGTCTATTAGATGATACTACCAAATTGACATAAATAATTTAACTAAAATAGATGTTGGCTAATCCGAATAAGCGAATTTTCTTTATTTTCCCCAGATTTTAGGATATATTAGTTAATTTTATATGCTTCGTATATTTAAATTTTTCTTATTTTCACATATGGTAACGTAGTCATATAAAGATACAAAGTGATACAAAAATTAAAAGTATTTACCGTTTACTAAGAGAGAAAAAAACTTTTTATGGATTTTCTGCTCAAATCTGTACTTAGTTTGGAAGCTTTTAAAAGCTTACAAAATTGTAGTTTGTTAAGAAAATCATATTTATTTGATATATTTTAATACTTTAGTCCAATATTATTAATTTTAATTTCATTTTAAATCATCTATATGTCTTAGATTGTTTAAAAATTTTACCTAAATTTATTGTTCTATGGTAATTTTGAAAAGGAGATATTTTCATACGCCGCCATTCCGCCAAATATATAGTCACTGCTAGATTTCAAACTCAGTTTACCTTTTCTATTGAAAGTTGTACAATTGTGATGAGGGAAAAAATATGATCTTTTAAATCCCTTACATCTAAATATATAAGACATATAAGCAAATATACTTTGAATATTTCATCTAGACAGAAACCAGACAAGAATCTCTCCTTAAATAAGCTACCTGTCTACTTTACCGACTGACCAAATAGTTAAAAGAGTTGCAATGCATTATGGGCTTCTACGAATTTCAGTACGAATGCCGAGTTTTAAAAATAGAGAAAAAAAGTATTTAACATTGGAAAATCATTTCCGATTGTTTTCGATATTTATGAATAAGTATTGAAAATTATTTAAAATCGTTCAATTCTATGCCCACATTAAAAATAAAAGTTTTATAAAGCCTTATATCTACCTATTTAAATATCGGCATAAACTATTGTTCAAAGAGATATAGGTGCTATTGTGTCGAATAAGCATTGAATATGTATTTTCTGGTGATACATGTCCAAGTCTTAGACAGCCTTTTAGTCCTGGAAATCAAGCAGTCAAACTGTTATGATGAATACATGTATAATGAGCATTGAGCCGTATACCAAAATTGTAAAATTCACTGTTACAGGGTGAGGGGTTCTGGATAAAGGATGGGGCTCTACCAGTCATATAGTGAAAATGAATTCATTCTTTAAAAATCGAATTGACCACCATTGAACAGGTTAAGGTTTCTAGGCATGTCAATTCACACCTGGATCAAACTGGAATTGATAATGTATCTATGCCTGTGTTTCTTTTACAGAAAGAAGACATGCTGATGAACAACTTAAAGAATTTTGTGCAAGGATACTTATGGTGTTTGAAAAACAACGGAGATTCACAAAAGAAATACAAATTTTTAAAATGACTTGATTGCATCAATTAATCAATGTATTAAAGATGCATATATTTCTCCTGGAAGGTACTGTGTACTTCAAAAGTATGAGGATATCATTTTGTTATCTTACAAACTTTAAAAAAGATAAAAGTTATAAAAGATAAAAGTCATACTGATAATTTTTATGTGGGTCTTTTGTTATGTATTTTTGTGCGTTGTCGTCCTTTTGAGCACCATGCGTTAACATGTGAACATATCAGCTTTTTATCTGGAACTACTGATCCTCCAATTTTGGTACCCAGTTTTTTGGTGCGAAGGAATGCAAAAATGTTCCAACCCCAACCCCCCAACCCCTTTCCCCTCTTCTATCCCAAGGGATGGTACCAAAACCATTAAATTCAATGCAATCTACCAAAAACGTATTTATTCCTTGACATCAGATGATCAAACTGTTGGCATGAATATAATAGGTATCAAAACTGAAATTCTTGAAACCAAGGTAAGACTTTTAAGGTGGGAGCTATTTATCATATAATGATAGTGTCTCAATCGGTTACACTTCCTCTACATAAGCAAGGGTGTCTCTTCCAGAGTTGTTAAATTCATGGCACCCTGGGTCAGGGACTCTTGTATTCATGGAAATGTCTGTTGATCATGTAGCGAAATAGCTGCAGATCTGTAGCTTTCCGAAAGAAAAAAAATGACCAGAGAGCTACAGTACATGTACCACCAAAAGGAAAAAAAGAGCTTTAGATTTATAGCGCACAAAAAAGTGCGCTCAATTCTGGATTTATTTCTTCTTATTGTTATCTCAATTGCACAAAAAAACTCGATTAAAAAATATTAGACCTCTATATCTTGTGCACGAAGCAGTTATACCAAATACTAGGCAAAATGGCAGAACTAATGTAGGCGAAATTTTTCAAAACTCACAATATCACACTCAGGAGAGCTATTAACAATGGTAATGGGGAATATTTTGTTTTGGAATTGGTAAAATAATATGTTAGCAACGGACATTTAGTTATATTTTAGTTTAAATATACATAGAAATACATCGAGAAACGGTCAGTCTACTTTTTGTGTGCAGTAAATGTACACCTGTTTAAATAAGTGGCATTGTAGCTCCCTGTTGTCCATCCTAATATTTTCCGACCAGCTACTGATTTGTAGCTAATAGAGAAAATGCATTAATTCTCTGAAATTCTTCTAGACTCTAGAAAATCTTAAAACTCTTGGTATTAAGCAGATAAACTAAGTAATGGTCCTGATGATTAAGGGTGCTTCTTTCAAAATCGTGAAATTCACGGGTCCAGAGTAAGGGATTCTGGTGTTAGGGGTTAACCCTATTTATCATATGTGTAATCCAGAAAATTCATAGTAGAAATGTTCGAAAGCAAAACCAACTCATCAGTATTGTCAGTCCTTGCTCTGTGATGTGTACAGAGTTTAACAAATTGAACACACCCGTGAAACGTGAACTGTTTTTGTAAACTGGGCACGAGCTCTGTTATTGTTAATGTTTACGATTCACCGGGTGTGTTCAATTGTTAAACTCTGCACACACCACTGAGCACGGACTTACAATACTGCGAATGGGTTTTGCTTTTGAACATTTCTACTCTGAATTTTCTGGGTTATAGTTTTAATATTTTTCATTAATACACAACAAAGTTGCCACTTTTCTTAAGTATTAAGAATAAAATTAAAATATGTGAAAGCACAAGGATGTGTCAATCCAACGCGTCCAGAAATTCAAAGTTTTAATAACTTTGATATGAAATAAGATTTTTATTATATTTTAGTATGAAATGCTCTAGCAATGTACATATAAGTCATGAAATTTGAGAAAATATTAACTTCAAATCTGTGTCCAAGCACCTTTAAGTGTATGTTGTGTTTCATGCTCAAATGTTATTGTATTTTGTTATGATTACAAATGAGAGTATAGTCAACACTATATATACTTCTGTTACTAGATTACGTATTTAAATGATCCCAGGTTATTTCTCTTACTTATATATATCTTCTTTTATCAATTTATTATACTTTATTATGTAATTATGAAATTGTCATTCTAGAGTCCCTTTGCATTGTTGTATCATACTCATTGTATCATACCCTTGGGCCCCTTGTACATGCACTTATATAAGTGAAGGAAATTATACAACTTTAAAATCTCTTGATGATGTAAGTTTAAGTAATCTGTTAATACCTTTCATTGAACAAGTACATTAAATATAGCAAATGTGTAGAAAAATGGTGCAATTTTTGAATCTCTGTGTGTTGTGAAACTAGAATAATTTATGTTTCGTGTAAATTTATAATATCCTTCAATTATAGCTTAAAAAATGCTTATTGTTCCTAATTATTGTACATTTATGTCAGTTGTCGTTGTGCATCTTCATTCGATAGAGCTGAGAAAAAAGAACAGCCTTCATGACAATAGATATAGATGAATTCTAACTTGTATTAACTTCTTATTCAAGTGGAATATGTGCTCAGATTTGCTGCGTTTAAATTTATATTGTACGTAAGAAAATGAGGTGTATTTTGTTTTTTAAACAAACCTTGTGTTCTCTATCAGTTGTGTATTTTCCGTAATTATTCTATCAGCTGTGTATTTTCTGTATTATTCTTCTGCCGAAATATGGCTGGGATATTGCCGACTCAGTGTGAAAGAATAACAATCAATCAATCAATCGTATTATTCTTAATAAAGTACATATTAATGTTGACCCAGCCAGATAAAGTACAGCAGCTGTAAAACATGAAAGCTAATAACAGAATTTGGTCTTGTGGAAACATGTTTGATGTATCTTTGCGAACTTCACATGAAACAGAAAATACCATTGGTATGTAATTGTTAGGTGTTGCAGGGTCCATTTCTAGTTATTTCTAGGGTCTAAGGTTATAATGAAACGTACAATATAGATTTTCTCTCAAATATCAACAAAAAAACTACTTACTTACGTAGGAGAAATCAATTCAAACTTTGGACAATCTTATTTTCTTATGTATGAATTTATCACTCTTAAATGGAAAAATGGCTAATAAGGAAGAATCATCTATGATAGAGGTAGGCCCTAGTCTAATAAAGGTGGTCAAACTTCATGTTTACTGTGGTAACGCCAGTATAACCCCTTACAACAAAGAGATCGGCAAAATTACAGAGTTCTCCATCGGCCGTTTAAGGTGGCGGCCCCGCCACAGTCGCATCCCTTTGCTCCACAACACCACAGTACCGCCACCGTAAAATATCAGGAATATAAATGTGTACAGTTTTAAATCTTTCAATGACACTATAAATCAAGTACCGTTTTCCAGTTTCAAAGCTTAAGAGTTTCCTGATACTATACTAAACTGACACCAATAATTGCAAAAATATGGATGAAAGTTAGATTGTGTGTATGACCAAGCAGAATTTCCTCAGTCCTTTAATGTCCCCTGAAGGTGTTAAATTTAAAGTTCAAAGAAATTCACTTTACAAGGATACTCACTCCCGCCCAACCCGTGATTGAACTCTCGACCTGTGGAACCTGCTTCCTAGCAGTGCAGGAACAGCTCGCATATCCCTAACAAAAAAATACTATAGTTAACTATAGTTTACTATAGTTAACTATAGTTAACTATAGTGAATCAAAGTGATCACTATGATAAATCAAAGTTTTCAAAGTGATCACTATAGTGTCATAGTTATCACTATAGTAAATCAAAGTTTTCAAAGTTATCACTATAGTAAATCAAAGTTTTCACCATAGTAAATCAAAGTTTTCATAGTGATCACTATAGTAAATCAAAGTTTTCATAGTTATCACTTTAGTAAATCAAAGTGTCGAAGTTATCACTATAGTAAATCAAAGTGTCAAAGTTATCACTATAGTAAATCAAAGTTTTCATAGTGTCAAAGTTATCACTATAGTTAACTAAAGTTAACTATGGTAAGCTATAGTTAACTATAGTAAACTATAGTTAAGTATAGTATTTTTTGTTAGGGATACTTATGCTTGGTTATTCGGATTTTTCTAGTTGAAAAACGCATGTATTTGAAAATATACTAAGTATATGAGATTGACTTACTTTCTTTTTTTGGAAATATTCCTGAACAAGATGCTGGGGATACATTTAAGGTTTAATTTTTTTTTATTTATGGCCAAGAGAGAGAAAGAGAGAGAGAGAGCATAGAATACATACAGTGCAGGTATATTATTGAAATATATCACAGTTATTGTATACTATCAATCACCACAGACTTGACATTGTTAACTAACAATAAGACACAATTTATTTTTAGTTTTACTTTTCAGTACTACAGATGGCTCTGGATATTTAAATTATCTAGTCTATCATCACACTGAGAGACATTGCTGCTCGATTATCATGTGTACATAGTATTAAATTTTGGGTCATCAATTATGTTTCCCATTGCACAAGCGGAAAAGGAAATCTAAATCAGGAAATCAGGCAATTAAAAATATATATATATCTCGCTGTTTGATAAAAGCATGTATTGGTGTAAACAGTATTAGACTCGATGAAGCTTAAGTCAATGTCCATCATAAAAATATTTATTAATATTACATTTACCATTCTTTGTTCATGGTCAACAGAAATACCAAGATGTGAAAAGTAAGTATGCTTTATGTTTTAAGTTCATCTGTTTAAAAAAAATCTATATTCATAATTTTGTTTAAAATTCATAATCAAAAATATAAATATTAAGTGTTTTTAAGTGTTTAACTTGCTGACGTTAAATAGTAGACATTTAGACATTTATATATATATATATATATATATATATATATATATATATATATATATATATATATATATATATATATATATATATATATATATATATATATATATATATATATATATATATATATATATATATATAATATGTTTACAGGGGCTGTTGTTCAAATTACAAGTGGAACATCAAAACTGAAAAATGTGAAAGTAAGTCTAATAATTATCTTTTCTGTACTTGTAGATACAATATAGGAATTTATCATTCGCCTTATGCAAGTTATTGTAAGGTGTAGTCTTTGATTTGTTACTTTCATATGTTAAACCGTAGTTTCCTGTACACGCATCTTTCATTTGAAGAACTTGTCTAGAGGAAATTAGATGAGCTTATTAGCAAAAATCTTATTTGCATGTTCATCTTATAATAAAGCATATATCACTTGTTTTCCATTAAGGAAATCAACTTCCTATGCTTTTTAATTAGTATTGTTTATGAAAAATAATCACCAGTATACATAAAGTGTCATTTCATTCCTTCCAACAAAAGTGAGAAGTGTCCCTCTTATATGAACCTTTTTTTTATTCGTTCATATCGTTTGAAAGAACAAGACTTTCAAATTTAAGGATTATCTACCTCATGCATAGCTCTGATCCTTCAACGTATTTGTCTCTAATCTTTGGCAGCTTTTGTCAGCTCTTCCAAGTCCTTTTTTATTTAAATATTTTGGATTTCGGCTTGAGCATCACTGAAGAGACACAATTTGTCGAAATGCGCATCTGGTGCATCAAAATTGGTACCGTATATGATTTATATTCCGAGGAACCTCGAGAAATTCAGACCTGCTTAATATATTTTCTTGATGTATAAAGAAAAACATATAGCGTACTATAAACAGGTAAAAAGGTGTCTGCAATATACCAGAATCGTTTTAGCTTAATTCATGCAGTATTAATTGCAGAATGTTTGCCGGGATACAAAGGAATAGACTGTAGTCAGTCTTGTCCGTATCCTTCATATGGAGTAGGGTGTCAATTAGAATGTGACTGTGAGAGACACTTGTGTGACGTTTCAACTGGTTGTAGAGATGTAACCACTGGTAAGGCAATTCAAAAATAGAATTTCACTTCAAATATTTGTGTTGAACACTTTCTCTATACAACTCAAAAGTATTCGAATTGCATGTAGCATGTGTTTGTGAACTAAATCTAAACCATTGAATGTAAAATTTATGGTGGAATAATAAGACTAGTTAAAACATGCCAACGGCTAAAAAAGACAAATGGAAGATATTTCAATGGGAATGGTACTCATTTTCAAAATAGTTCTGGGTAAAATTCATTCAGAGCAAACTTAGTGACACTAAGGCTATTATCCATGCAAAAGGGGAAGCAACTAAAACTAAGTTGAAAACTAAAAAAAAAAAACTCAGCTACGTTAAGGAAGACCTGAGTTCACATTTGTGATGCACCGTATGGGAAGTTTCATTATGACCTCATTAATAATTTAACAAGCGACAAAAAATTATTTAACCACTTGATGATGCGTAAATAACAACTTGCATTCATTTTGTTCATCAATCTTTTAAAGCATTTAAAAACTCAACATTTGATAACAATACTGCCGAGTTATTAGAAGCAAATCTTGTGCCATAAATGACGTCACCACCCTTGACTTGACGCAGTACAAGTGATCCAGAGGAGTGGATCCATTGGTTTAATAATTACAAAAATACTTAAATAATTATAAAAACCATTGCCATTGTTTAAATCTAATCAATAAAATTAAAAGGAAATAATGTATTTAAAACAATTATGTAGATTATCAATATATGCTATGGAGCTGCACAGCGACAGAGAATATGAGAATATCGCTTACACGGTAAGTGTATTCCTGATTAACCTCCAAAGTGCAAGGGGATAGACTAGACTATTTGAGCTGAAATATGGAATATCAATTGCTTATATCATGCATATTTTGAAAAGTGCTGAGAGCTGATTCTGGTCTTCCTAACATTATTTTTTATTTGTTAAAGAATTTAAGCGAAGTGGGAATTTTTAGCTATAGTACGCATTTTCAGCAAAATTACAAGTATTTCCGAAAAAAGCTCAATCTAGCCTCAAGCACTCTTCGTGAAGCCGATGTAAATTTTTTTTAATATGTATCAATTTTAAATATGTATTCAATTTATAAAACATTGTTACGTTATTTTTCAAAGAACACAACTATTTTCCAGTAATTCACTCTATTCACCAACTCTGCGAGCGCAAAGCGAACCCGGGACTCGCTTTTCGGGTTTGCTCTGGTGTAAGGTTGTGTCTGGTCGGTACTGTCAGCTTATGTACTAATACAGAGTTTATTTTACCCCCGCTCCGAAGGAGAGGGGGTACACTGTTTTACCCTTGTGTTCTGTCTGTCTGTCCGTCCGTCTAGCTTTCTGTCTGTGTGTCTGTGGGATGCATTTTTGTACAAATCCAATATCAACAACCTGTTTATCTGTCCGTAACATACAAAACAAATTTGGGTGGCAGTTTTCTCAGCAGCTACTCATCCTATAAAGTAGTTTAACTACGTAAAATATTATATAATTGATCTGTACGTAATGGTAAGTTTCACTGATGGAAGATCGCACTGCTTAAAAAAAATTCATACGCTTAGCTATGATAAACCGTTTCTAACCAGTCTAGCGTTTAATGGATTGATAAAGGGACGATGT